AGGCTGTGGTGGCCGGGAGCGTGCCACTGCACTCCAGTCTAGGTGACAGAGTGAGACTCCAACTCAAAAAAAAAAAAAAAAAAGAAATCTTTTTTTCTGAGGAGTTGGTCTCAACAGTGGGCTTAAAACATTCTGTAAACCATACCGTGAACAGACATGCAGTCCTCTAGGCTTTGTTGTCCCATTCACAGAGCACAGGGAGTGTCGGTTCAGCATAATTCTTAAGATTTTTAGGATGGTAAATGAGCCCCGACAAAAGAGTCAGCCTGTCCCTTGATGCCAGACATAGATATCTCTTGAGTTGTGAAAGCCCTAGATGGCATCTTTTTCCAACAGAAGGCTATTTTGCCTGCACTTAGCACCCGCTGTTGAGTGCAGCCACTTTTATCAATGATCTCAGCTGGATCTTCTGGGTGACTGGATGCAGCTTCTGTCAGCACTCACTGCTTCACCTTGCACCTTTTTGTTCGGGAGGTAGTTTCTTTCCTGAGACTTCGCGAACAAACCCTGCTAGCTTCAGACTTCTTCTGCTTCCTCACTTCTCCCCATCTTCAAAGAATTTTGTTTCGGCTTGAGGGGATGATTTTATTTTCTATCCAGACCACTCAAACTTTCTCCAAAATCAGCAAGAAAGGTGTTTTGCTTTCTTCTCATTCTTGCATTTTCTAGAGTGCAACGCTTAATTCCCTTCAAGAACGTTTCCTTTGCATCCACACCCTGGACTGACTGCTTGGTGCAACAGCCCTGGCTTTGGGTCTGTTTTGGCTTTCGGCATTCCTTCCTTGCTAAGCTTAATCATGCTTAGCTTTTGATTTCAAGTGAGAGACGCGCAACTCTTCCTTTCACTGGAACAGTTGCAGGCTTTTTGTAGGGTCACTAACTGACCTAATTGCAATATTATCGTGTCTCAGGGAATAGGAAGATGACTGACCACAGGTCTCCATAACGGATACAAAATAAACCTGACACAGAGACATAAAGTGAGCACATGCTGTTGGGAAAACGGGCTAACAGACTTGCTCGATGCAGGGTTGCGGCAAACTTGCCATTTGTAAAAAGTGCAACAGCCACGAACTGCAGTAAAGCAAAGTGCCGCAAGACAAGGTATGCCTGTGTGCCTGTATGTCAGCAGTTCATTCCTTTTTTTTTTTTTTGAGTTGGAGTCTCACTCTGTCGCCCAGACTGGAGTGCAGCGGCCGCTCCCGGCCACCGCAGCCTCGACCTGCTGGGCTCCGGCGATCCTTCCGCCTCCGCCTTCCGAGTAGCCGGAATTACAGGCTGATTTTTTGATTTATTGTAGAGATGAGGTCTCGCTGCCCAGGTGGGTCTCGAACCCGCGGGCTCAGGCCATCCACTCACCTCAGCCTCCAAAGGCGCGGGACTACAGGCTGAGCCACCGAGCCCAGCTCCTGTACTCAAGTTAAGGTCAACTGATCGCTCCCTCATTCGTTCATTCGACAAACGTCTATGACCCATCAAGTCAGCCAGGCACTGACTAAGCATTTTGAGGATGCTAAGATGACTGACGGGGAATTTCTTGAGGCGCTTACAATCTAGGAGAGAAGAAAAAGCAAATCTCTCAATCTACTACAGAGCTGAAAGTGCTACGTTCCATAGGAGTAGTTCTGGGACTCCTGAAACATGTTTGCAGAAATAAATAATGATAAGCCTGCATCATATCTTATTTAACCTTGGCCACAAGTTCCAAACAATGCTCTACAGGGAAATTCTCTCTCCCAGACTCTCCATTTTCCAAACTTTTATACTTGGAGCTGGGTACTGAGCTAAGGGTTCCAACACTGGTTTTGAAATAATCTCCTTGCCAGGTGTAGGATTCTCCAAGTACCCTGGTTTGGAGTGGGGAAACTTGGTACCTATTTTTTGTTTTCAGTCTTTGCTGAAACTGCTCAGAAGTATCATTCTGACACTTCATCCAAGAGCATCAGAGAAAAAATAGTTTTGATGTGAAGAAATAAAAACACCATCTAATTTGATGTTAACATGCCAATCTCACATGCAACAAAAACTTCTCCCCCCCGCCCCCACGTTTGGATCTGACCTAGGTTCTGAAACTCAGAGCTGGGAAGAGAGGGGTGGTCTGCTCACTGCTTCCTCTCCTTCCTCCCCACATGGCTGCTCTCAGGAACTTCAGGTTTAACTGAGTGGAGGCAGGAAACACCCTTCTAACTCAGCGGGTGATGTTTGCAGATGACTCTTGGCTGTCCAAGAGAGCGGCTGGGTCGCTCTTCTGTCGACTTACAAACAAAAGTTACCCTTTTCTTTCCTAGGAGGCTGTGCTGGTTAATTTTAGGCATCAATGTGCCGATGGGAAAAGACTGTGCTGGATATTTCTGTGAAGGTGCTTTTCGAATACGCGAGCTTCAAATAAAGCAGAGTTCCTCTATAACGTGGCCGGCCTCATCCAATCAGTGGAAAGTCTTAATAAAATAAATACTGACTTCCCAGAGCTAGAAGGAATTCTGCCAGCTGTCTGCCTCTGGGCAACACTGGCAGCAGGCCTTCCCCAGGAGACGCTGAACTGACCAAGCACACACTGCCACACACGGTGGGCTGGCTCCTCAGACCAAATCCCTCTCTCTCTCCACACACACCCTCTCCCCTTCGCGGTGGTCGTTTCTATGGGGAATCCTGACCAATACAGACGACTCTGCCCGTTTCTCAGAGGTCCCAACTGAGGACCTCCACCATCCACCATTCTGACCTGGCAAGATGCCCCTCGGTTCCGACGTCAGGGGCCCACCTTCGAGCCTCTCTCTGAAGACCCTCTGCCCAGCCGACAGCCCTGCCGGACGAGGTTGCACGAGACCACCCTGCGACCGTCCACGTCGAAGCAGCAAGAGCAAAGGGGGACACCTGCCCTGCCCGGGGCACCCCCCTCCTCACCCCACCGTCGGGCACGGCTCTCGTCTCTGGTCGTCAGACGTCACCAGGCACCCGGGGGGCACAGGCTCCACGCCGCCCAAGCTCTTGGGGACCCCCCAAAGATGAGCTGAGCTCTGTGACTCGTGCGGCTCTCCGGGGAGGGACGGGGAGAGGGTGCCCCTGACCAGGTTTGCCGAACCCCGCCCTTGTCCTTGAGTCAACCCCGGGTCACCGGGTGCACGGCGACACCGCCACCCGCAAGCTGACCGCCAGCTGCGAAGTGACTTCCCGGACGCCGCGCTCCGGGCAGGCTAGCGGCCGGCCAAGGCGTGGTCTGGAGTCAGCAGACCCACCCGGCCGCCGGGGGGCGACGGGCGAGGCGGCAGAACCTGGGGAATTGGCCTCCA